AACATCAGGGTGGATGAGAAGAAAGAGTAAAAGAAAACACTGGGCTTCGGAAAATATCTGCTGGCAATTGCATGCTTCCAGCTGAGTCTGTATTTAAGTTTCAGTCGGACAAACTTTGATTCTGAGCCTGAGTCCACCTTCTCTCCTTTGGGTTAGTTATTTGACCTCTTGAATTTTAGCATCCTTGTCTACAAAAGAGAATGACTATGCTTCTAATCGACAAAGTTAATGCATACAGAATACTTCGTTATAATGAGTACATTGTAACTGTTTAATAATACTTAATAAAATATTTGAATTTATATTAAAATATTTGGAATGAATAAATTTGAAAATATGAATATAAAGGTTAAGTGAATTATATTTTCACTGAAATTGTGGCTTGCAGCCTCCTGAATTAGCTATCAAACCTGATTCACAACCATTTTTTGGGTCCCACAATCGCCATATGGTACCGTGCACAGCAAACGAGGCTGGTATTTGTTATATCCCATAGTTTCTTTCACAATTATCTTTTGCTGGTGACTCACCTTTTGCTGCCCTCCAATCCCACCCACTCTGTCCTTCCCTGATCTCCTCCATGCTGTGGATGACCTCTATGAATTTTTTTTGTTTCCTCCAATTTCTGATTGTGTTTGACTTATGGGAGACTGTGAAATGATATCAGAAGATAGAAGAGAAAGAATACTCTTCCTTCCCCATCCTCACTGTCCCCATCTTCACGGTTTGGCTGCAGTCAATGCTGGGCTGTCCTGCTGCTACACCAGTTGACAAACACTCCCTTTATTGACTAAGTCTTCCAGATCTGAACATCTTGTTGGTGCAAATCCCTAGTGGCTTTGATCCTTTATGGTTTTCTTTAGTTCTTACCTTAATCTATTTTCAATTAGCCCTTCAAAATGCTATTTATTTCCTGCCAGGACCTTGATTGATGCACATATATTGAATCCTTTCTGTTTACCAAGCACTTACTAAGAAGAGGGAACAGGGCAACACCTAAAACAAAGTTCCTGCCTCAGTTTATGGAGCAACAAATATATAAGGTGAAGCTGCAGGGCACCGTGTCATACTCATCATATTTGGAAAGGGAACTGAGCTTGAGCCCAGCAAGAAGAGAAGAGCATGGGGCCTCCCCTAAAACAGAGGGAGCCTGAGCAAGGCAGGTGACCTAGGAGCTACCTTATGAGGGGCAGAGCAGTCAAAACAACAGAACTTCTCAAATAGCAGAGAACCCTTTTATTTGAAGAAGCGCTTTTCTACTAGGTAGATCAGTACGACATCACTGGTTTGAGATTGAATAGATAACTGAGAATAGTTTCTGTAGTGGTGGTCTATTCCAGGAGAGTGCTCCTAGGTGGAGGGGATCAGGCTGGAGTAGAGCCAAGGGAGGTGTCTGTATACTTCCGGGGTATTCACTTACCCTTTGGCTTTTACAGTAATTTAAGCAGATAAAACAAAATGATGTATTTGCCATGCATTATAAATAACTGACAATGAGGTCATATAAACTCCTTTTTATAAATACATATCATGAAAATGATCACAGGCTGCATTTCTAAAAATGTTTTTCTTGAACTTAAGAAGTTCATGCCATCATTATAGCCTATCTATATATTGAAATCATACACCCATGCTATAATTACTGAGTGTGGATATGTACACCAAAAAATATAAGAAAAGAATGCTTCTTGGAAAAAACAAAACACAGACTATGATTAATGAAACAAGCTATTTCTAATCTGGATTTTTAATCATTTGGTGAGTATAACACTAATAAATGAAAGTTATAGGATAATCAAAATATGCGGTATTATAATGAATAGTAGGTAATCAAACACGTTTGTTTAAAGAAAAAAGTTAATACATTAGCTTCTCCCTTCAAGTGATGGAGCTTGTGGCCATCATGGTGGGACTGCAGTGTAGCAAAATTTCATTGCATAAGTGACTGAAGCTTGGCGGATACTGATAGACATGTTGCAGCACACCAGAATTATTAGGTAAATCAGGATGGGAAGATAGAAGAGGAAAATGTTAGGATTTTTTTTTTCACCATGATGTACCAATAAAATCAGTAGTCCTCTTTCAAGAAAATCCATAAATGTAAAAATAAAATTAAAAAAATTAAACTACAGACACTGATCACCAAAGTGATGTGTATATTTAGGATTAAATGTGCCTTTTAATTTTAATACACCGAGTAAAGAAATACAAATATCAAATAACTTTTTGATTAATTGAATTTAATAAGCTCAGAGTTATAAATCTGTCAGGTTTTACATATGTAGTTTTGATTAAAATAATAAAGTGAAGTATTAAAAATGAAAATAGAAGGATAGGTAAAAACTGGTGAGATTGGTGAAATGCTGACAAATGGTAAAGCTGGATATGGCTGCCTGAAGGTTCATTACACTATCCTTTTTACTACTGTGTACATTTAAAATTTGTTACAGCAAAATGTCAAAAAGCAGCACATATATACCTTTTTGGTCAATGCGAAATGGCTCTTTTCTCTTTTTAGGGAAGTTTATCCAAGGAGATTCAGCAAAATGGCCAAGCTACTTCTTGGAATTCAAGTCATTGTAAAACAACACCTTATTAATCAAAGGATAAATGAAAACAAATCAACATTAAGACTAAAACAAAATTAAGAATAGATGAAAAATTAGAAGGTTCTTACCAAGATATTGCTTAGTACTCTCAAATACAAACTTAGGCTTTCAACAGATAGGGTTTTAAAACATTTTAACATTTTTAAAAATGCCACGCCTATAAATAAAAATAAGGAAAAGTTAGAAATTTTCCAAATGAAACTGACCATTTCTTGGTCAAAAAATTTTGGTTATTTTCTGGTCTTCAAACTATTTCATATCTAAGTCAACAGAAAAGAAACAAAGGAAAAATGATATACTCTTTTACTAGTAGAATTCTGACCCGAGACAGGAATCAGAAAAACCTTGAGTGGTGACAAATATGTTCATTATTTGGATGCAGTGATGATTCTATTTGTGTACGTATGTACGTATGTCAAAACTTACCAAACTGTATACAGGAAGTACTCAACATCATAGATAGGTTCTTGGACACTGCCATTTTAAGCAAAACGACATATAATGAAGCCTTTTTCTTCTTCATCACCATCATAATACATTATAATAAAACGATGTGGAAGATAGTATTTCTCAGGACCTGTGGAAGTGTTGTTCAGTTTATTATTTGTCTATTATGTCTCAATTAAGCTCCAAAAACAGCTTTTGATACACCAATTAAAAACACAAACATGGAAGTTCGAAAATATAGACGTCCATGTTTGTATTTGTTTAGGAACAGGTGGAGAAGAGCTGGACTCGAAAGAAGGCTTACCAGAGCTCATGGTTTAGGAGTCATGCAAAGGCTTGTGGCCTTTAGAGGCTACAAGATTCTGACCCTCCCCAAGTTGCATCTAGAGATAACAACATCATTGGAAAACCTACTATCAATGCTTGAGATATTTTGCAGACCCTGCACTTGATGGTTCAGCTGGCACCATCCAGATTGATAAAATCTGGGGCTCATCTGATCTTGTGGCCCCCATCCAGAAACAGACTCAGGGCAAGAAGACAGCATCGACTCCCTATGATTTCATCTCTGACCCAAGCAATCAGTACTCTTAGCTCACTGGCTTTTTCGTGCGCCTTGGTAAGTGCACTGGCTTCTCCCAACCCATCAAATTATCTTTAAAAACTCTGTTTCCCAAATGCTCAGGGAGACTGATGGGAGTAATAATAAAACTCCTCCTGTCTCCTGCACAGCTAACGCTGCATGAATTGCTCTTTCTCTATTGCAGTTACCCTGTCTTGATAAATTGGCAAGGTGAACCCACTGGGCCATTACACTGCCTTTAAAAACCTTTACTTTCAAGGAGTCAGGGAGGTCAAGACCTAAGCATGAGCTGCCTCATTCTCCTTGCTTGGCACCTGCAAATAAATGCCTTCCTTTTTTTGCTGCAAACCTCAGTGTGGATACCTGTTCTTACTGCCCTAGTTCTTTCTATAACATAGTGTGTCTATGTGGGAATTGTGTTGATTTCTGGGGATTTTTGAATTTATCTTTTATTAGTTCTTGAATATTTGCTGCCATTACCTCTTCAAAAAAAAAAATCACCTCTGCCTCATTTGGTCCTTCTGGGATGCCAACTAAATATAGGCTAGACTGGCCACTGTATTCCTTCTCTATATTTTGCCCTCTTTTTGTAGCTTCTAAATTTCTGTTTCTCTATGGGCTTTCGTTCCACATTCAGTTTTACTACAGCCTCTTCAGCTGTGTTTGTTAGCTTTCTTTTGTGTTCTTAATTTCATTCTTAGTATTTTCAGTTCCAGAATTTTTGCTTGGTTCTTTCCCAAATCTGAAATGTCACTTTGTTCTGGTTTCTAATTTCCATGTTAAAAGCTTGGCTTGTATTCTTTTGTAAATAGTAAGTTGACTTGTTTTATGATCAGAATTTTTTCATGTTAATATCTAAGTGAATGCAACCCGTATCTGTCCTCTGCTAACCTACCCATGGGCTCCCACTCATATTTCTTGCCTTCATGCATGACAATTTGCCTTTTGCTCTTTTCTAGATATTGGAATCTGGAATCTAGATATAGATGTTATAGAAATACTGACATCTGGGCTTACACTTTCATCCTACTCTAAATATGTCTTTTGGTTGGTTCGCTTCTGCTAGGAGTCTGGGCAAACTTCTATTTTGATTTCATTTCAATACTTCACCAAATTTTGCAAAGGTGAATTGCAGGCAGTATATTGACTTGTTCATGACTGATTTTTTTTTTTCTTAAGAGAAGATACAGACTTTTAACACCCCTGGAATTGAGGAGGCTTTATCAGACAGACTAGAACTCACTTGTGGGAGCACCAGAATGAAACTTCTACCATAACTCTGTTATGCAGGTCTTTCTTAATGATTAGAAAAAGCTCTCAGGGCTGATATGGCTTTGAACACTGAGCTGGATTCTACAACAGACCCCACACACAGTGGAGGTTGTGTTTTCAGTAGGAGGTGTGATCTGAGCTCTCTATTTTCTACTTCTACAAGAATAATGATGAAAGTATAAAGGAGCCTTTGTACAGAATGATGACAGTATAAAGGATTGTCAGATTCTCCCTAACTTTACAGGTATTCTGCAAGTTATTCTGAAATAACAGGTAACAGGTCACACAACTATATGACCTCCTATAGGTACGCACTGCAAGCTGTTCTACTAAGCCACGCGAAAAGGTAAGGTGTATTGAAGTAGAGCATCTGAGTTTAGCTGTGTTGTTTTATTTGGTTATAACCAGCCTGGATATGAAAAGGAAGGTGCCAATAAGACAAAGAACCATTTTAAAAGAAATCTGTAATACAGCAATATTCAGATTATCTATTTCATCTTGATTTAGTTTTTGTTGTTTGTGGGTTTTAAGGAACTGTTCATTCTTTTCTAAGTTTCCAAGTTTATGAGCATATATTTTTTTCATAGTCATCTCTTATTATCATCTTTTTACTAGCTACATGGTTTTTGGTGATAGCTCCAATTTTATTTATTGTTGACTTTTTTTCTTTTTATATTATTACATATTAATAATCAGGTTCAATGATACTTTTCCAGGAAGCAGCTTTTTATTTTATTGTTTTTCTCTATTGTTTTCCTATCTTTGTTTATTGATTTCTGACCTTTTCCGTATTTTCTCTCATGTTTGCTTATTTGCTTTTTGGTCTTTATTTTTTAGATGCTTATGGTAGGAACTTGCATTATGGGTTTAAGGTCTTTTCTCATTTCAAATGTAAGAATTTGGTGCTATAAATTTTCCTCTCGGAGTTGCTTCAGCAGTATTCTACATATTTTAACATACTGTGTTTTGATTTTCAGTCACTTCCATTTTTTAAAATTTTCTGTAAAAATTTTCTGTCTCAGAGTAACTCATGAGATTATTAAAGAATCTGTTCTTCTTTTAGGAAAAAAATGCTTATGGAAGGGAAGCTAAGAGTGTTTCTGAGTAAGGGAAGCCACAAGTTAACTCTCCCATACACTTATTTCATCCTCATTTCAGAAAGAGTAGCGTAGCACGAGGAAGCTGCTCCTCAAAAGACTGACTTCTTGTTCAGACTCTCTATGGTAACGTTGCTTTGAAAAAGACTGAGTTTTCTTGTTGTCAAGGGATGGAGGAGAAATATACATTATCAACGTACCAGTGTGTTGATTGATTTGTGACCTTCATCTCGGAGGGAATTCCTAAGAATATGGGTTCATTTCCAGCCTACTTTGCTAGATTTAGGAGGTGGGCATCGTGCATCAGTATTGAGCCACCATATCAACATTTGTTGTTGTTAAAACAGAGTTAAGTTTTTGAGCACAATATCTAACCCTTGCACCTACCCCACTACCACTGTCATTAGCAGAACATAGAAGAACAAGTAACTGGTTTTGATACACCTTTTGGCTTTAATGTCCATGGTCAGATCTCTGTGGTTGATGTAACAAATATGCATTTTCTTGAACCAGTTTATCGGGCCTGGACAAATACTCTCCAAAGTATGAACCAGGTTGTCCTTTCACATCTACCAATATTTTAGTCCATGGTCATGGTGCAGGATCCCTGACTCTTTAGCATATTATGCCCGGTTCTGTAAGAACTTGATGGGAAAACACACATATTGAAGACACAGCAATAACAGGGAGTTCTTTACTGTACGGTGAAAAATATGGGATGGGTCTTATTGACTGAAATAAGAATCTTGTCAATGGCTAAGCATCTGGTCTGTTGGAGTTGGGAACCAGTTGTGCATCAGAGGAAGGTAAGGTCTGGAATCAGGAGATAGGAGGTAACACATGAGCTAGACTCAGTTTTCCCATGAAGGATTTCATGTGACTCTGTTCTCATCAATCAACCTAGAATTTTGCTAATGATTTCTGGCATAACATTATTACTAAATTCATTAAAGTGGGTTCTAGAATTTCAACATTACTTCTTTCTGTTAGGATAGGCTTTTAATTTGAACATTACTCTCTGTAAATCCAGTGCAGTGTGTGTGTGTGTGTGTGTATGTGTGTGTGTGTGTGTAAAGGGCCTTCTCTAGATCACTTAGGTTGCCATCTTTAGTGGCAATAGTGTGCATAGTAAAAAATCCAAACAGAAATTGGCTGAAATGATTTTACATTATATCAGTAAAGAAAGCTCAAGGGGATTTTGTTTAGTGATTAGGGAACCAGGTCTGCCTGTGGTTCTGTGGCCTCTTCTCTGTGCTGACTTCGTCTTCTGGGGAAAGATGGCTCCAACACTTGGAGGATCCAGACAGATACTTCCATGCCCATACACATACAAACTCATTATTCCAAAAACACAATATAAACTAAAAGTTCCAGGAGACAAAACAACTTTCAGACAAATGATATGGATTATATTATTTGTGTGTTTGGCTTGTGTGTCTGTGTCTGCATGTGTGCGTGTGTGTGTGTGTGTGTGTGTGTGTGTGTGTAAAATGAAAGTAAAGTATGAATTTAGAATGAAAATTAAAGAGAAATCTAAGCAAGACATTTAGGTCAATGTTAGCAAACAGTAACTACAAGTAAAATGGATGTAACTATCTCCTTAAATGTTGAAAGAAGTATTATGATCTGATCAGCATATGTATTTTAGTTTGTCTCCTCATATTCAAATTCTATTTCTTATAAATTCCTCTCACAGTTTACGCGTCACTGGTGTGAAGCAATGGATATTGATATTCTGCATTGAGATATTTTTAGACATGTGGACTTAGTGATTTTCTTTTTTTGTTTTGTAGTTATTTTGTTTTTTAAAAAAGTATGTATTTTCTTATATTTACAAAATAAGAATGCCTCCTCGTCTTCCCCTTTTCTTCTCTCTATCTTTCTATCAGTTACCTGTGCACACATACTTATCATATATTTGGTTGTTATTTTGGCACGTCTGGCCCAATAAAATCTGTCATTGCAGTAAGTGTGCTTTTTTTTTTTTTTTTTTTTTTGAGACAGAGTCTCGCTCTAACGCCAGGCTGGAGTGCAATGGTGCGATCCTGGCTCACTGCAACTTCTGTTTTCCCGTTTCAAGCAATTCTCCTGCCTCAGCCTCCTGAGTAGCTGGGACTACAGGCACACACCACCACTCCCGGCTAATTTTTTATATTTTTAGTAGAGACAGGGTTTCACCATGTTGGCCAGGATGGTCTCGATCTCTTGACCTCATGATCCACTTGCCTCAGACTCCCAGAGTGTGGGATTACAGGCGTGAGCCACCGCACCCGGCCAGTAAGTGTTCTTTTCCTCCGATGAAATGAGATGCCAGCACAGTAAAACCATTGTTGGGGAAAAATAATGAGGTTCCTCAAAATAACTGCAGTGGAAGGACATGAATGTCAACTTGAAAATAAATAACTACATGTTTAAAATGTGCCAGGGACTATGCTATGTGCTTAGTAAGTTTTTATTGACACTTGCAACAGTCTTCTAAGCCAGTTACTATTAATATACTAATTTACAGACAAGGAAAGTGAAGCCCAGAGAGGTTAATTAACATGCTCATGGTCACAGAACTGATAATAGGGTTGAGATAGGAATGCAGGCCGTCTAATTATATCCTAGAAGATCTTCTACTCATCGTCCATGGATTTCCTCTTCAATGAGCAGGTCAGAGCTAGATGTTAGTTTGCACGTACTGGTGCTGCTGTCATGAAGAGGCAGCTGCACCAAGCCAGGTGCCATAGGCCCATTGCATGAGGCTTACATTTTTATGGATGCTCTTTGCTTCAGTCTTTGCTGTCATGTTGTTCTCATCAAATGCTGCCTGGACACTGTCAAAGAAACATATATTATCTTAACAACAAATAATTGTGGTTTACGTTATAAAGGTGAGGAAATTGAGGTTCAAAGAGGTCAAGTAACTTGACCAATATTGAGAAGTCCTCCCTTTTGAAATGTTTGTGGATTTACATACACAACATACTCAATCATATGCAAAATATCCTCTTTTGATACTTTTTAGAATTGTGGCTGGGTGATGGGTGATAGGTTTTTTGAACAAAAATATCCAATATATTATCTTTTTTTTTCTTTTGATCAGATTTTAAATCTCTTGAGAATTTGGATTTTCTCATAGAGCTGCTCTGGAAATCTAAGTGTAATTGTAACAATAACAACTAAAGAAAAAAAAAAAGCCCTAAAACCCCATCCAATATTTCCCTTAGTACCTTTAGTCAGAAGCTAAAAAACACTTTGAAGTCTGTGGGACACCAGCAATTCTGTTTGTTTGGCAACTCACTGCAGTGAGTTAATGATTTCTTTGGCATTTTCTGCCACTTTCAACAGCAGTTACTTTTAAATCCCCTATAAAGGTCTGGAGAAGCCTTGGGACATTGTCATTCGAGAAGATAATAAAGTCATTTTAGGAGAAAAACTGGGTCATGTTTTGAAAGGTTCTGAAGATGGAGCCCAGATGCTCAACCGGGACCTAAACTCCAAGCAGGGCTGCAAATGTGGAGGGAATAACCATCCCCAAAATGTCATGCTTCCCAGCACAAGTGAGTGCCAAGAATTTAAAAGATAAAGGAAATTGAGAGGAACATGAATGAGGCAGCCAAGCTCTCTATAAGACAGGAGCCTGGAACTTGGCTGCAGAGAAGAAAGGTAGCAACATTTTTCATTATGTGACTCTTAGGGGCAAAATTCAATTTCAATATTATCTTATTTGTATCAAATAGTAGCCTTCAGGTTTGTGTTGTTATGAATGTTTATGTATTCAATAGCAAAATTCAAAGATTATTTATTGTGACTTGACCTCATATTTAAAGCAGCAGATTAGCATTTTTGTCCAAAGTCAGGCAAGGCAAAGAGTGAAGTGAATGTTAGAATTTGAAAGCCTATGCATTTAGAAAGGACATAACCAAGTGGAGAACAACAACTTTTTGATAAATGGGATGAAAATAGGAAGCCCTCTATTTAGCTTCTTTTGATCAGTTGCTTTTCAGTGGAACTATTCTAGCTCTATTAACTGAATAGAGTTCATCCAGCTGTCAAGGCTGGAAATCTGTCTCCTCCCTTTAATCCTCAATAACTTGATTTTCCCTTCTAGCATGAACCACTACCGGGATCCTTCCCTCTAAATCCCACATGAATGAGATCTCATTCATCCCATCTCTGAAATCTCTCTCTCACACCCCTCAGCTTTCACAGCGATCCTTCCCTCTATATCCCGCATGAATGAGGTCTCCTTCATCCCATCTCT